CTTATATATGTATACGTATAGAAGTATACGTATAGAAGTATACGTATAGAAGTATAGAAGTATATGTACATATTACTACCCTGTATTCTCACTGCTGTAAATCCATCTCCATGTAGGTAACATCAACAACTGTGTGTCTATCACACACGTCAATCTGGATGTTAATCTCCCGGGATCTCCCCTAGAGGCCAATCGCTACAAACACGGCGAGGAAGGCGGTAGTAAGTAGAGTGCTGTGATTGGTGTATGTGCTTTATTATATATATCAATAGTTACATGCTATATACTGATTGTCGCTGAGTTGTGTAGGTATGCTTTGTTATTGTGTATATGAACCGCTACAGACACGGGGAGGAAGGCGGTAGTATGTAGAGTGCTGCGATTGGTGTATATGCTTTATTGTATCTATAAATAGTTACAAGCTATTAACTGATTGTCGCTGATTTTTGTACGTATGTTTTGTTGCTATGTATATCATCGGTTCTAGGTATGATCAGTCTTGTCGTTTATGGTAGAGAGTATATTTCGTCAATATATACGTAAGAACAATGGCCTTTGCATACAATCTCACTTAGTTATGTATGTCGCTTAATATGTATATGCTGTACAAAATAAACACGATTTTCTGTTTGGTTATCTATGTATCATTTATTCTACCGCTGTGGATGGCATATATATATATATATATTTACATATATATATACGTATATACACATACATTCATACGAACCGTCATAGACTTACACATTCTCCTTTCTTTTCTATACCTGACAACAACAGACAGTCAGACTAAGCTGTTTGATCCGCCGTATGTCAATCAGTTTCTTATCTCGGGCGTTAACGATAAGTCCTCCAGACCGCAATCGCCACGTTCTCTGAGGTATCGCACTATGTCCTCCGGCGGCCCGTTGTAAGTACTCGTTGCTTATTTAGACTATGAAATAGATATACATATAAATAGGTGTGTAAGTATTTTATATGTTTCTATATATGTTTCTGTGATATATATATATATATATATGTGTGTGTATGTATGTATCTTTGTATATAAAGGTATACGCAAATGTATATATTCATGCATTTATATATATATATATATATATATATATATGTATATATATATATATATATATAGTAGGTATATATAGTATAT